TACAGTTAGTTACACAAATTCAGATATGAAGCTTTAATAAGTTGTACTTATACACAATCTACTTGCAATCTTAAGTTTTAAGTAATATGCATTAATAAACAATATTTTACACATAAAAATTAATTTTTAAAATTTTTTATCAAATAGTTTATAATATAGTATAGTTACTTTACTTATAATTTTTTTGACAAACCCCACATCAAATCCGTAATTCACTCGAATACACCAAATAAAACTTTAAAAGTAAAAAAATAAAAAATAAAAAGAAAAGAAAAAGTCAAGTCCCCACCCCACCCCACCCCACCCCCCGGGGGTGTCTTTGGTTTGCTATATTATGCTTCCATCTTCTTCTCAAACCATGAACCATCTATCTCTCTCTCTCTCCCACACCAACACAGAGACTCATGGGGTCTGTAAGCAAAGAAATACTCCAAGACGTTCCGCCCTACCTTCGAGTCTACAACGATGGAACCATCGAGAGGCTCGTTGGCACCGAAGTTGTCCCACCCACCGCCGATTCCGCCACCGGTGTCACCTCCAAGGACGTCTTAATCTCACCGAAAACCGCCGTCTCCGCCAGGCTCTACCGTCCAACTCTCAGCTCCCCCACACAAAAACTCCCTCTCCTCATCTACTTCCACGGCGGAGCATTCTGCATCGCATCACCCTCCTTTCCCTTGTACCACCGCTCCGTCAACAACCTCGTCTCCGAATCACGTGTCATCGCCGTCTCCGTCGATTACCGTCTAGTCCCAGAACACCCACTTCCGGCGGCCTTCGACGACGCCTGGGACGCCCTCCGGTGGGCCTCCTCCCATGTCCCCGGAGGAACCGGGACTGAAGAGTGGCTTAAAGAAAACGTCGATTTCAACCGTGTCTTCCTCGCCGGAGACAGCGCCGGAGCAACCATAGCTCATCATACCGCCATCCGAATCGGAACAAAACCAGATCCCAATATCGCCTTCAAAATCTCGGGTATCATCTTAATCAACCCGTATTTCTGGGGCAAAGAACCAATCGGGTCGGAAGCAAAAGATAGTATGAAGAAGGCAATGGTAGACAAGTGGTGGCAGTTCGCATGCCCACCCGGTTCCAGTCTCGGGTTAGACGACCCGTTAATCAACCCAATGGCGAAAGGAGCTCCAGATTTATCGGGTATGGGTTGCAGTCGGGTCATAGTGACGGTCGCCGGAAAAGATATACTAAGAGACAGAGGTTGTCTGTATTATGAAAGCCTAGTAAAGAGTAAATGGGAGGGGAAAGCAGAGATGATGGAGATCGACGGCGAAGATCATGTTTTCCATATCTTTAATCCCGATGGGGATAAAGCCGTAAATATGATCAAAAGGTTGGCTACATTTATAAACCAACAATAATTTTATTTATTATAAAATAATAAAAAATTAATTATTACAATATAAAACAAAATATATATATTTGGAATTAATGAGACTTAGAATTTTGTATTTTATGGTAAGGTTGTATTGTATTTGTAGTTATGTGTTTTTTCTATTGACTTGTGGTCTATTGGCACGTATGATGTTGATGTGTATTTGTTTTATTTGTGTACACAAAATTGAAGATATATTTTACGGCTCAAATTTCACGTATACACTTTTTATGAAATTACTGTTTATCTTATGATTGTCGTCGAATTAAATAAATGAATACATTTATTTTGATGATTGGCTTATCAAAAAAAGAAAATCTTATAGATGACGATTGAAGAAAAATTACATATATCTATACTATATTATAAAGCATTTGACAGAACTCTTAAAAACTAGTTTTTATGTATGAAGTACTGTTTATTGATGCATATTACTTAAAATTCAAGATTACAAGTAAATTATGCATAAGTATAACTTATTAAAACTTCATATTTAAATTCGTGTAACTAAATGCGGATAAACATGATTAAATAGAGAATAAACATCTCATTTTAAAATATTAAAAAATCTAAAATATAATTAGAATAATTATTGAGTTGTAACAAAATACTTAATTATTATATTTATAAAAAAATATATTATTAAACCTAAATTAAATTACTTCGTTACGTTAAATTAAATTATAATAAAAACTTTGAATTAAAAAAATATACAAATAAGAACTTTTAAGTAGTTAATTTGTATTAATATTGATATATTTTTTGCAAATTTTATATGATATTTTCCAAATTTATATTTTATTCAAAAATAAATACATTATCACTTTCTTAAAACCACATAAAATCGTATTATATTGACATGGATAAAAAATAAAACGAAACATTAAAATGAAAACGTATCTCAATACATTGCACGAGTATCCTTCTAGTATATATATGTGTGTGGGGGGTTATTATACAACCCTTTATATTTGTACAATCAATACAACTCAATCTCAACCGTCCATTTAATTTGATGAATATGTGATTTCATAGAAGTTTTGATTGTTTCATAATATAAAGTATTGATCATAATTAATGAACCCTATTTATTTTTCATAAATATTCAAATCATAACAAATGAGCTCTCATTATTTCTATAAATATCTCAATTAATTGGATTGCATTAGTTGTACAAATGGACATTGTTGCATTTGAAAAATACTATATATATATATATATATATATATATATATATATATA